TCAAAATGAACCATGACCTAGTTAATTTAATCAATAAACTATAAATCATATTTAAATTACTTAAAGTATAACTACTTATAGTAGTTTTTTTTATGGCATAAGCCGGTAAACGAGCAGATGGTAAGCAGTCGGCGTCGCCCATGGACACCTGGAACACCAGAGGCGTTACAAGTGCGTTACCGGCATTTTGGGGATTAGGAGTTTGAGGTTCGTTGGGGATTCAGGGATTGGGGAGATTGGGGAAGGGGAGGGTAATTGGGCCTCCGGTAACCTCACTCACACTCACAATTGGGTAGTTTCCTAGGTCAAAAATAAAATTATTTTGATTTTTCAGTCCAATTAAATATTGAAAATTAGTTACACTTTCATTCATTGATTTGCCGATATATTTAATTTTCGATTTATTCTAGCATTTTCTTTAGATATTAGTGTGCTATTTGACGCGAAAATATGATGACGTCATAATATGGTATTTCGTACAAAATTCATAGAACAGTATCGTTTTTGACGTTTCGATAAAACATACATAACATCACGCCTTTTATTCTCGAAGGGGTAGGCAGAGGTGCACATTACACCACTGTACAATGTAACATGTTATGTTATGACTGTTATGAGTCCCATGTAATAGGGTGTGAGCTTATTGCTATATACCGGGCACAATTCGAGACTCCGTGCTACTTACTACTAATTTTAAAAAAAACATTAATACTTTGCCCGACCCGGGAATCGAACCCGAGACCCCTTGCCCGGCAGTCGCACTTGCGACCAGTCGTCCAATGATGCAGTTTCGATAAAAGTATTGAATTTAATTAGTTAACTACCGTATTAATAGTTCCGTTTTTCAGCTGTCTCGTTTGCGGTTAAGTGATGCGTACCGAGGCATGGAAAGAGATGGGTGGGCGCGCGGAATTCTTCGTAATTAGCCAATTGTTCTAGACTGTTGTCAAATTTGAGGTTATTGTCACAAAAACAGTGGTAAAATGTTTATCTCAATGTTATTAGCTCAATGTATAAGAGAACTTGAAGGTCTTAGGATGAAGTCTGGATTTGGTTTGATTATAGGTGAAATTGGCGACATAAAAGGTCATGTGATCGCTGTAATTCCCACGCTGGGTCTGGATGTAGATCGTAACTTAAAAGATTTCGTTTTGTATGGACGGGACTTAGATGAATCAAACAAGATGTTCATTGTTACACTTTCCGTTAAATAATACCTCCTCTTCTCCAGAGATATAGTTTATATTCTTACTAGCTTTTACCCGCGGCTTCGCTCGCGTCACAAAAGAATAAAAAGTAGCCTATGTGACATATACCAATACACACAGCGCCATCTATACCAATACTTTTGTTTTTCCTTGGGAATATCAATTTTTTCCTAGTTAAAAAGTACCCTATTATTTAATCCGGACTTCTAACTTTACGTCGGCAAAAATTCAAAGCAATTGGTTGAGTAGTTACGGCGTGAAGGTGGAACAAACAACCAAACTCACTTTCCGATTTATAATATTAGTAAGGATGAACCAACGATTGATTACTCCGTCACAGGTTTACAGTTATGACGATCATACAGCCTGGGCTTAAAGTGGACTAATTGATGCGGCCGGCCATACTTACTCACTCATTCGCCTTGATCATCTCGGAGTTTGGGATATGAGAGAAGCTGCTGCAGATAACGTATTTTAGTCGCATATAAGACGCGTACAACTAAATGAATCGAAATTTAAATTATGTATAAAGAAAACTTTATGTAGACAAGCATATTACAAACTTAATGAATATATAGAGGATAAAAATGCTTGGATGCAGGCTAGTCCGGCTCCACAGGATAACTAAAAACACTTGTTTTAATGAAATCGTAAATAATACAGCCATATTGCTAAATTGTATATTGTTTAACTTAGATAACCATTGTAAATGTGAGAGCCCTGTAATTAACTTAATATTTTTTTTTTTTTTTTTTAAAATACCTTTATTCAAATAAAAAACTTAAATTAAAAACTAACTATTTCACTTCCGTCACTCACCAGCACCAATCCTGCGGAGTTAGCTCGCCTATTGGCTGTGGGTGAGTGGGAATCAGGCCTCTGGCTTCAGGCACTTCCGTCACTCAATATTGGCACGATGTTGAATGACTCAACTTTTCGGCTTGCTGCTTGCTTGCGTGTAGGTGCACCCTGTGTTTCTCCGCATCGCTGTCAATGCGGTGAGATGGTCGACCACCTCGGCCACCACGGCCTATCGTGTAGCAGAAGCGCGGGCCGGATAGCTCGACACGCCAGCATTAACGACATTATCCGCCGAGCTCTTATCATCGCCGGTGTGCCAGCTGTTCTGGAACCAAAGGGTTTGGCACGCGACGATGGTAAGAGACCCGACGGTATGTCCATTATGCCCTGGAAGCTGGGAAGGTCTTTGGTGTGGGACGCAACCTGCGTTGACACCCTTGCACCTTCTCATCTTCCAGTAACGGCGGGTTGTGCTGGTTCGGCTGCTGCCTCTGCAGAAAGCCTCAAGCGGCGCAAGTATAACAACCTTGCTGGTAGTTATATCTTTGAGCCGTTTGGGGTTGAGACGCTAGGTCCGTGGGGTCCGAGTGCACTTAAATTGTTCCAAAACATTTCAAAACGCCTGGTTGACACATCTCGTGACCAGAGGGCTGGTCTTTTTCTCGGTCAGAGGCTAAGCATTGCCATAAACGTGGCAATGCTGCCAGCCTTCTGGGTACTTTCCCCACTGACGTCGATGCGGACGAATTTTTCGACGCTTTATGTAAATAGTTGTTTTTGTTTTTTCTTATAATTAATTTTAATCTTTAGTTGTATATAGGTATTTAATTTAGTAATATTTAGTTTTAATTTTTTAGTTTTAATTTAGTAATATTTAGTTTTAATTTTTTTTTTTAAGTAATAGTTACTTAATATTAAATTAGATTAGTAGATTTCATTTGTGTCAGCTTGGAGTTGTCATGCTCACTCAGAGGTCTCATTGGCCGTGGCGCGTGCAGTGGATCGCTCGATTCCCTACAATATGGTTGAGTTGGGCGGTGCTGGTGTACGTGTCATGTTCGTGAACGGGCGCCGTCAACTGGGACTGGTCAGCTCCAGACTGTATTACTGTCCTTAAGGTTATTTTCTTTTTTGATCACTTTGACTGGATTTTAGTGTTACATTGTTCTCGCACAATCCAAACAGCAAAACTATGTAACTAGTAAATTGTATTGTGAACCTGATTGAAAAAGAGTAACCTATGGAGTTTCTTGCTCGTTCTTCTCCATAGGAATCTACGCCTTGGAATGAGCAAATAGCTTCACTTTAAATTTTTGTTTTTGTTGACGTTCAAAAGTGCCATTCTGGCCTAATTGAAATAAATGATTTTGACTTTGACTTTGACTTTGTAGGACACTCCGGGCGTCGGGGATCGTGGGACGATCTCCGGCTCCAGTAAGCACGGGCGGAGTAGCTCACCGTCCGACCAGAACCAGACCCGAGCGTACGGTGCGTCGCGTTCCGCGCGCGCCTCAAAGAACCATCAGACCACCACGGATGGGGCCCAACAGAGCTGATGCCGATACGGAGCCGCGGAGGACTTAACGGGTTGCTGGAGCTCCGGCTCGAACTGCACGAGAAGGAACGGGGTGGTTTTTAGTCAGTAAGAGTCTGACACTCCCTCCCGCCTCGCCCAGGCGGGAGCAGTCATTCGATAATTTATAATATTCCCCACTTAAAAAAAAACAAATATATCCTCCTCTGCCGTCACCACAAGGCCAAGCACATCAGTCCAAGCCATTTTTAAAATAAAAATGATATTAAATCCAAAATTACTTAATTTTATGTGATACAAACTTAAGATTATAGCCATAAAACCCTATAACAGTATGTAATTAATATCTATATTAAAAATGACTCTCTGTTTGTGCATTCAGCTGCGCTTGAGTAACGATGTACGTGCCTGATTATTTGTGCTCCAGATAGTACTTTGTAAGGCTGTGTGCAGAATTGTAGTAGTTGTAGGAGTAGGGACGGAATGATGCTTGGTTAGTAAGAGTCTGACACTCTCTCGCCAAACCCAAGGCGGGATAAATCACTGGATGATTTCCCATCCTTTAAAAAGCCAGAGAAACGGTAGATGTCCCACCCACACGCACGAAGCGCTTCGCATCTACCTTCCATGTGCGTATTGCTAAGGAGTGGAATTGGGATGATGACAGGGTATTACAAAATAATGTTTATAGCATTAAGGAATTTTTTGAACATATATAATAATGTATAACTTATAACTACGAGTGTAAGTTAGTTAAAATCAGTTTTAAGTTAAAATTTGCATGCTTTGTTTATTAAGCAAAACATGATGATCTTTTATATTGTAACTATAACATCTTTGTATACCATGTTTTTACGCAAATAAATGTCTTTATCTTTATCTTTATCTGTACAATTAAGAATCTAATTAGTCCGTAGGTTAGATAATGAAAAAATATTAGACACGTATATTTTTATTTTGTCGTATAATAAAACAATACTTTGATAAAACGAATCAAAGTTTAGGATTGGGGGCTAAAATGTCATTTCTACGTATAAAATATACATAGAAATGACGTCACGCGAGATTTCAAATCAATATATCGTCGAAAGTATTCGTTTCTGTTAGAAAATAAAAAATACGTGTCTAATGATTTAAAATAATCTACCAGACGGAAATTAAAATAAAAATTACGCATCTACCCTATTCTTTGCCGGAGTCTGTATTTCCTGAAGGATAAAACCTGGGTGTCGTCAAGGCCCGAGTGAATAGGTTGCTTATAGGACGATGTGCTCCATCGCAGACCGCATCATAGCTTACCACCAAGCGAGATAGTGGTCAAATGTCAGTCCCATCTAATATATAAAAAAAAAACTGCTTTAAGTGTGGGAGAGCCATGCTTCGGCACGAATGGGCCGGCTCGACCGGAGTGATACCACGGCCGAGGAGAAAACCGACGTGAAGCAACTTGCGTTGAGTTTTGTCGTGTGAGTGAGGTTACCGGAGGCCCAATTACCCTCCCCTTCCCGAATCTCCCCAATCCCTAAATCCCCAACGATCCTCAAACTCCTAATCCCCAAAAAGCCGGTAACGCACTTGTTACGCCTCTGGTGTTCCAGGTGTCCATGGGTGACGCCGATTGCTTACCATCTTGTTTATGAGCTTATGCCAAAAAAAAACTTAGTTATTTAATGATTTTCGATTCACCAAAAATAGTCTTTTATATTACTAAAACTTCATTATAAACTCCCCTTATCTTTGTCCTTAATAATCGCTTCCACATAATCTTGTACACCAATACCGACTGCTTATATTATAACGCTATCATGAATAATTCCGGTCAGAAGAACTTGAACGATCTTAAACATTAAATAGTATTATGACTTAATATTGTCTAGATGGGGTGGCAGGATTCTATGGTCCATGCGACGGTTGCATGGATCTATTTATGTGTGTGTATGTGTAGCATAAGCCGGTAAACGAGGAGACGGATCACCTGATGGTAAGCAATCGGCGTCGCCCATGCACACCTGGAACACCAGAGGCGTTACAAGTGCGTTGCCGGCCTTTTGGGGATTAGGAATTTGAGTATTGTTGAAGGTTAAGGGATTGGGGCTGGAGTTTCCTAAATTTTATTTTATTTATTTATTTATTAATTTATGTACACACATTCAACATAGAGGACAATACATAATAAAAAAACAGAGTACATAGGCCCCACATATTCCAACTGGAATTTCTTCCTGTGGGCCTGTGGCAGGAAAAGAAATAACAACACTGAGACACATAGTGTGTTACACAAACAAGATAAAAATCAATTAATAAAAAAATAAGTAATAAGACCGAAGAAACCAATAGAAATAACAATAATAAAGAATAAAACAAATTAATATAATATAATTATAATACATATATATAAATATAGACAAACAAATCTATATTTCAAGAGGAAAGATAATGTTCTCTCACTTGTCTCTTAAAGATAGAGATAGACTTGGCGTCCCGAATGTTCGGCGGAAGCGAGTTCCATAGTCTCACTGCATGAACGGAATGTCCGTCTGGTAGATTATTTTCAAACATTAGACACGTATTTTTTCTTTTCTCACAAAATTAAATGCTTTTGTCGATATATTGATTTGAAATGTTGCGTGACGTCACAGCGTGCTACAAAATATACCACGTTACATTACATCTGCCGAGCTGATTTGTGAAGCTATACCATTCCCAGATCCCTTTGAATACACACAAAAAAATTCATCAAAATCGGTCCAGTCGTTTCAGAGAAGTTCAGTGACATACACACTCACAGAAGAATGGGGTAGACGACTAATTTTTATTTTAATGTCCGTCTGGTAGATTATTTAAAAACATTAGACACGTATTTTTTATTATCTCACAGAAACGAATAGTTTCGAAGATATATTGATTTGAAATGTCGCGTGACGTCACTTCTCAGTACATTTTATACTGAGAAATGACGTTTTAGCCCCCACTCCTAAACTTTGATTCGTTTTATCTAAGTATTGTTTTATTATACGACAAAATAAAAAAAATACGTGTCTAATATTTTTTCATTACCTAACTTACGGACTAATTAGATTTTTAATTGTCATACCCTGTCATCATCCCCATTATATATATAAAGATTATATGCAGGACATCGTCTGTCGGATCCGCTAGTTTTTATATAATAACAAAACACCAAAAAGTTTTAATCAATAGTTGGAGTTAAATGGACGAATGGGCGGCCTTCAGTTAGTTCCGGTAAAAAACATGTAACTACAATGTTAACTGTTAATATTTTAATAGTTTATATACTTTATTTGATTTAATTGCCTCGCTGGCCGAGTGGTCGTAAGTGCGACTGCCGGGCAAGGGGTCTTGGGTTTGATTCCCGGGTCGGGCAAAGTATTACCTACTGGTTTTTTTTTAATCTTAGTATATTAGCACGGAGTTTGAAATTGTGCCCGGTACATGGCAATAGGCTCACCCCCTATTACATGGGACTCATAACATAAATAGTGAAAAGTGGATACATTGTGAACTTTTAATATTAAAAGGTTAACTGACTGTCTGTATCGGGAATCGGACTGACGCATTAATTAAAGATATCTTTTTAATCTTGGCCCCGCACTAGGATTTTTTACCGGGCACATTTCCAGACTTCGCCGTGCTATATACATACTTAGAAAATTATTTTATAAAATCTAAAATACCCCAAAATTACTTAACCCAACCCGGAATCTAACTAACCACATCTTGCTTAGCAGATGCACTTTATAACCATTGGACCCACGCATACTATCAAGTGTCAATGTCAATAATATAAATAATATTTCCTGTAATAGACAAACCGCATGATTGATCTATTACCTACATATATCAATATGTCAAATTCAAGTCAAATATAATTAGTTTTACATATGTATAAATATAGATACGGTCACCTAAGTTAAGTATGCGGGTAAAAATATGTAACTGACTGCCTCGTTGGCCGAGTGGTCGCAAGTGCGATTACCGGGACAAAGGGTCTCGAGTTCGATTATGGGTAGGGAAAAGTATTAATGTTTTTTTTTAAATTGACTGCCTCGTTGGCCGAGTGGTCGCAAGTGCGACTGCCGGGCAAGGGGTCTCGGGTTCGATTCCCGGGTCGGGCCAAGTATTACTGGGGTTTTAAAAATCTCAGTAGTAGCACGGAGTCTGGAAATGTGCCCGGTATATAGCAATAAGCTCACCCTCTATTACATGGGACTCATAACAAAAATAGTGAAAAGTAGGTGTTACATTGTGCAGTGGCATTAAGTGCCGTAATGTGCACCTCTGCGTTCCCATACGGGGATAAAAGGCATGATGTTATGTGAAAATAAAAATTGATTCAGTACAGAGACAGTAACCATTGGTTGTCTAGAGCCGACTGAGTTACAGAAGACATGGCTTCGTTACAAAGCGTATAATATGTTAGTTTCCTAAATTTTATTTTAATGTCCGTCTAGTAGATTAATTTAAAACTTTAGACACGTATTTTGTCTTGAAAATTGAATACTTTCGACGATATATTAATTTGAAATATCGTGTGACGTCACAGCGTACCACATTTTGTAGCACGTTATGACATAACTTCCCACTCCTAAACTTAGCGCCATTTTATCTAAGTATTGCAACTTAATACGAGAAAATAAGAAAATACGTGTCTAATATTTTTTCATTATCTAACTGATGGACTAATTAGATTTTTATTTTTGATATCCTGGAAACTACCCAATCCTTACTAATATTATAAATCTGAAAGTGAGTTTGTTTGTTTGTTTGTTCCACTTTCACGCCGTAACTACCAAACCGATTGCTTTGAATTTTTGCGAACGTAAAGTTAGAAGTCCGGATTAAATAATAGGGTACTTTTTAACCCGGAAAAATTTGATATTCCCGAGAAAAACAAAAGTATCGGTATAGATGGCGCTGTGTGTATTGGTATATGTCACATAGGCTACTTTTTATCCTTTTGTGACGCGATCGAAGCCGCGGGTAAAAGCTAGTTTAGTATAACTATAGCTACTGAGTAGTCTCTGTACTGAATCAATCTTTATTTTCTTACCTTCATACTACATGACTTGGCAGACTGTACATGTAATAAATGATTATTGATAAATTTAATAAATAATGTATTTATTTATTATGTAATGGCGTCTTAATTCAAGGCTATAAAGCGGCTGTAATGAGGTTCTAAGTTCAATATTCAAGTTGAACTTATTAGGGATTTCCGTTTTCGAAAGATTGGTTAATAATTCGACAGCCTCGTTGGCCGAGTGGTCGTAACTGTGATTGTCGGGCAAGGGGTCTCGCTCTCGGTATGAGTTTATAAAAAAAGTTCAGTAGTAGCATGGAGTCGGGAATTATAATATCATCATCAACAGCCTATAAATGCCCACTGCTGAGCAAAGCCTCTTCTCACACGGAGAAGGTTTGAGCATTAATCACCACGCTTGCTCAATGAGGGTTGGCGATTTCAAACTTATAATTAGAAATTATAAGCCGAGGTTTCCTCACGATGTTTTCCTTCACAGTTTGTCAGTGGTGTCTAAATAATCTTAGAAAGTACATATAACTCAAAATAGTCACATTGGTACTTGCCGTTGGTAGGTTTCGAACCTGCACCCTCATGCGTGAGAAGTGAGCGTCTTAAACCTCCGGGCCACAACGATACAACGTATATGGCAATATGTTCACCCCCTATTACATGGGACTCTTAACATAAATAGTGAAAAGTGGATGTTACATTGTACAGTGACATTAAGTGCCGTAATGTGCACCTCAGCCTTTTGGGATGGAGCCGCGGAAGACTTAACGGGTTGCCGGGGCTCCGGCTCGAAGTGCAGGAGAAGGAACGGGGTGGTTTTTAGTCAGTAAGAGTCTGACACTCCCGCCTCACCCGGGCGGGAGAAGTCATTGGATGATTTTCACCCTTCAAAGAAAAAAGGCTTTGGGGATAAAAGGCGTGACGTTATATTATGCGTGGTTGCTTATAATCTTAATCCTTACTATTATAAATGGGAAAGTGAGTTTGTTTGTTTGTTCCGCGTTCACGCCGTAACTACTAAACCGATTGATTTCAATTTTTGCAGACGTAAAGTTAGAAGTCCGGATTAAATAATAGGATACTTTTTATCCCGGAAAATTTTGATGTTCCCGAAGGAAAACAAAATAATTGGTATAGATGGCGCTGTGTGTGTTGGTATATGGCACATAGGCTACTTTTATCCTTTTGTGACACGAGCGAAGCCGCGGGTAAAAGCTAGCTGGCTCTAAATAAATAACTTTAATTGGGCAACAAAACTAGTATATTTGCTAAATTACACATTTAATATTGGTTCGAGGTCATGTTTAAATGAATCGGTATTTTTTCATCTAATTCTAAACATAGTGGGGTCCCTAGGATTTTTTATTGAATCGCTTAAGATAATTATCCTGTATCAATTCATTTGTCAATTTTTAATGTATCGATTAATATTAATAACAGAATAGTGTTACACAAAATTGCGTTGTGTTTTGTCGTGTGAGTGAGGTTACGGGAGGCCCAACTATCCCATTCCCCAATCTCCCTAATCCCTGAACCCCCAACGATCCTCAAATTCCTAATCCCCAAAGGGCCGGTAACGCGTTGGTAATGCCTCTGGTGGTCCATTGACGGCGTCGATTGCTTACCATCAGGTGATTCGTCTGCTCGGTTACCGGCTTATGCCATAAAAATATGGCATATGCCGTATGCGTATATGGCAATGTAATAGGCTCACACCCTATTACATAGGACTTATAACATAAATAGTGAAAAGTTGGTTACATTGTACAGTGGCATTAAGTGCCGTAATGTGCACCTTTGCCTATCCCTTCGGGGGTAAAAGGCGTGATGTTATGTTATAATTATTATATATGAATGTCCATCCACTTTTTACCAGTACTATTGTTAATCTCAAACAACAAGGTTCAAGCCTAATACCATTTCAGACTCCGTGCTATGACTTCGAAACCCAGAAATCTATACAGATAAATAAAATTGTAATGTCTGTTTGTAATATTAAAATAACCACTTTTTACTACACGCACATGAATATACATACGATACACATACCATTTTTTCAATTTGTGAATGCCTGTCTGTCTGTCTGTTTGTACTGGCTAATCTCTGGAATGGCTGGATCGATTTTGCAAGACTTTTATTGGCAGGTAGCTGATGTACTAAGGAGTAACATAGGTTACTTTTATTTTGTTTTGGAAAATTGAAACAAAAAAGTTATATAAAATTCATATTCTACGCCGATGACGTCGCGGGCAAAAGCTAGTCCTCAATAACACTTTACTAGAACAATAATCGAACCCGACACCTCTTGCTTTACGATCAATCGACATTATGAACGTTTTCGAAAACGAAAATCTCAAAGTACTTTGTCCTTCCCAAGACTCAAACCTCGTGCAAACACTAGCAACCACTCAACCATCAATGTGAGTTAGTCATTGCATCACACGGGGTATGAATCACGGACTTTTTGCCACCTATATTGACCCTAAGTGCAATGATCCATCACTTAACGCTATTTGGAATCTGTGTTTATCTTTTTGTTTCTAGACAACTGTCAAATGTTTATTAATTAATTAATTTTTAATTATATTTAAGAACTTTTTTATTTTGCCTTCGCCAGCTTAACCGACGAGCCTGCATGAAAAGACTGATGAAAATGATGATTCTAAGTACCTATGGAGAGCCATGCTTCGGCACGAATGAGCCGCCGGCACGACCGGAGTGATACCACGGCCGAGCAGAAAACCGATCGGGGAGATTGGGGAAGAGAAGAGTAATTGGGCCTCCGGTAACCTCACTCACACGACGAAACACAACGCAAGCGTAAAAGCGTTGCTTCACGTCGGTTTTCTGCTCGGCCGTGGTATCACTCAGGTCGAGCCGGCCCATTCGTGCCGAAGCATGGCTCTCCAGCACGGCTAGCTTATACAAGGTGTAGTTTTGAAACCGTGACATTTCTCGGGGGCATGTCACAGAAGTCTTAAAGGTTCAACTTAAGAGAAAGTTTCGGGCCAATAGTTAAAAATACGGCTATGATAAATCGTTTAAGTTCGACAGTATTGCAGAATAAGCGACAGCAATGTTTCTTATTGGAGTTTTATGGAATTAGGAATAATATCAATTACGTGTTTGAGTTTGTGTGTGTTAAGCCGCGTTACAAAACTAGTTACAAGCCGGCGGCGTGTAGTTCGCACTTACGGATTTCCGTAATTTGCAGAAAAATGACGAACATCTAAGTACAATTTTTTTTATTGATTCGGACTCAGAATCGATAGCCGAGTTACCTCCTAAAAAATGACGCGGCTTTAAAACAACACAAAACTGTCGTCGTATAAACATAATAACTTTTTTTTCTTAACAGTATTTTAAACTGTATTGTTTCAATAAGAGTAGGTAGATATAAAAATAAAATTTTAAAAAGTAGCCTTGGAATAAAGTATTTTTCCTGTATTTATAGTAACGGGAGCATTCATTTTTTATTGTTTTTTTGTTTTAAAAAGCATGATTGTCAAATTACCTTTATTTCATCACCGTTAACGTCATTAGCTGTGTCAATGGTTGAGTAGACACGATTATGACTTCTAAACAAGTTGATCTGGGCTCAATACCTGAGTCATTATCAAACAAATGCCACTGTACAATGTAACATCCACTTTTCACTATGAGTCCCATGTAATAGGGGAGAGCCTTCAGATCACCACGGATGGGACCCAATAGGGCTGGTGCCGATTCGGAGTCGCGGAGAACCTAACAGGTTACCGGGGCTCTGGCTCGACGAGCAGGAGTAGGAACGGGGTGGTTTTCAGTCATTAAGAGTCTGATACTCCCTCCCGCCTCACCCAGGCGGGAGCAGTTATTCGATGATTTTCCCCCCTTAAAAAAAATGGTGTCCTGGTGAAATAAAGCCATTAGTCGGGTATACTTTTCTTGTATAGACGCACTATTTTTGCATATGTGAGCATACTGACAATCCATATAAATTATAATTGTCGTGGTGACCCGGAGGTTTAAGAATCCTGTTTCTCATGAATGAGGGTGCGGGTTCGAAACCTACCAACGGCTAGTACCAATGTGACTATTTCCGAGTTATATGTACTTTCTAAGACTATTGACACCACTGACAAACGGTGAAAGAAAACATCGTGAGGAAACCTGGGCTCATAATTTCTAATGATAAGTTTGTGATCGTCAACCCGCATTGAGCAAGCGTGGTGATTAATGCTCAAACCTACTCCGTGTGAGACGAGGCTTTACTCCGCAGTGTACATTTATTGGCTGTTGATGATCATATGTGAGCACCATGTTGGACTATAAGACTTTTTTGTTTTTTTATTTTATTAAGTTTTGTAATTAGTACCTATAATGCGTCAAGCGTGTCTTTGCATTGTTCTCACATATACGTACAGTATTGGAATATGTATCAGAGACATTGTAGAACATGTACTTTTTTAAAAAGAGTAACGAATGGAGTTTCTTGCTCGTTCTTCTCCATTCGAATCTACATTTTGGAATGAGCACCTAGCTTCACCTAGCTTCACTGATGGACTGGCTGACAGACTATTATTTATTTTGAATTTGTTGACTTTTTAAAACTGCCTCGTTGGCCGAGTCGACTGCCGGGCAAGGGGTCTCGGGTTCGATTCCCGGGTCGGGCAAAATATTACTGGGTTTTTAATGGTAGTAGTAGCACGGAGTCTGCAATTGTGCGCGGTATATGGCAATAGGCTCACTCCCTATTACATGGGACTCATAACATAAATAGTGAAAAGTGGGTGTTACTTCTGTGTGCACCTCTGCCTATCCCTTCGGGGATAAAAGGCGTTAATGTTATGTGTGACGTTTCAAAAGTACCAAACTATGGTTTAATTGAAATAAATGCTTTGACTTTGACTTTGACTATACGACACCCGCGGAAAGAGCAGGGATGGTGACCAATGCATCTACTCTGCATATGTTAACAAAACATTAATTTCTTTGTTTGATCTGACGTCATAATTAATGAAAGAGTAGGAACTGTATCAAAAATAAAAACTAATATAAGTTGACCTCTAATTGTCTGTCAAATTAATTTGGAGGGAGGTCGCATTGCATTGGTTGTTTTAACTACGGTAGCCTTCAATGGATTATTAAGGTTGTGTTGTAGTAAAAGCCAAGTTATAAAATGTCGTGATGTGAGCGATACAATTCTATAATGCTATTAGACAAAATCAATTAAAATGTACTCAAGGCAATTTCGAGAATGGCTCGATTAGTTTCGAGTCTTATCGGGACTCACATTCATAAAACCTTAAATTTTGGTCTTAAAATGCTCGTGGATACCTTTTGTGAGACATCATCATCAACAGCCTATAAATGCCCACTGCTGAGCAAAGCCTCTTCTCACATGGAGAAGGTTAGATCATTAATCACCACGCTGGCTTAATGCGGGTTGGCGATTTCAAACTTATTATTAGAAATTATAAGTCCAGGTTTCCTCACGATGTTTTTCCTTCACCGTTTGTCAGTGGTGTCTAAATAATCTTAGAAAGTACATATAACTCATCACATTGGTACTTGCCGATGGTAGGTTTCGAACCCGCACCCTCATGCATGAGAAGTGGGCGTCTTAAACCTCCGGGCCACCACGACATTTAATTAATTTCGTCTAATAGCATTAAATAATACTATTAGACGAAATTAATTAAAATGTACTCAAGGCAACTTCAAGAATGGCTCGATTAGTTTCAAGTCATACCGGGGCTCACATTCATAAGCACTTAAATTTGTATAAATAAAAATCTGATCTGTTCTGACTGACTGAACTGAATTGGTTAATTTTGGTCCTAAAATGTTCTTGGATACCTTTTGTGAGACAAAATCAATTAATTATTACGTTTTCGGTTGCCGCCGGGCAGGGGTCTCGGGTTCGATTCCCGGGTCGGGCAAAATATTACTAGGTTATTTAAGAAAACTCAGTAGTAGCACGAAGTCTGAAATTGTCCCCAGTATATTGCAATAGAATCACCCTATGTTACATTGTACAATGGCTTTAAGTGCCGAAAAGTGCACCTTTGCCTACCCATTCGGAAATAAAAGGCGTGATGTTATGTTATGTTTTCGGCTTACTCACGTAATTGTTTGACGAGGAACTCGACTAGTTTCAAGCCATGCTAGGGGCTCATATTCATGAGCAGCATTCAGCGACATATGATGCCCAGCTACATAGCTATATTTACTAAACTAGTCAACGTCCTCATTAAAAAGTGACGTGATCACGCCGAAAAACATAAAAATTGAGGCAATTTTCTATTATCCTTACTTATATTATAAATCGGAAAGTGAGTTTGTTTGTTTGTTCCACTTTAACGCCGTAACTACTAAACCGATTGCTTCTCGCGCGCGTGTATCGCATGCGCGCGGAGGCACGTCGCCGGGGCGAAACTCCTCTGCCGCGCCAGATAAGTGCGTGGCGGGATGAGCTCCGGCGCGATCTCATGGCGGAATGGCAGCAACGACTGTCGCAACCGAGGGCTGGGCTCGCTGCCATTGCAGCGGTAAGACCCCTCTTTGAGGAGTGGCTTGAGAGACGCTACGGCGTCCTCACCTACCGCCTGACGCAGGTCCTCACCGGACATGGAAGTTTCGGGAGGTACCTGTGTCTGATGGGGCGGGAGGAAACGCCCGGGTGTCATCACTGCGAGGATCGCCCTGAGGAC